GAATAACTTAAAAAAAAAAAAAAAAAAAAAAAAAAAAAAAAAAAAAAATTAATTTCATATTTTATAAGATGGTAAAAAATATTCATTGAATTTATAAATATTTATTTAGTGGTAAAAATACATAAATTTGTTTTATTTTATATGTAATGTCGATAATTTTAAACATGATATATTCACATAAGATATTTTAAAAATATCTTGTATTTTATAAATACAATTATTAAAAATAAATAAAACTTTTGAATAAATGAATTAAAATTTTTTATATTTATAGAATTTATTTGATATTTGGAATTAAAAATAATATTTTTATTTATTATAAAAAAATCCAAAAGTTGGATACAAATTTGAATTTAAATTTAAATAATTTAAAATGGGCCTAGGTTTTATAAAATTTCCTTTTTCATTGTTAGAATCCTTAGCATTAAGCATTAAAAGTGTATTAAATATTAAGATGAGAATGAAAATGATGTATGAGGCTGTGAATGATGATGAATGTTTGATCTTATTATAATAAACATTATAGAATTAATACATACCTATTACCTCTTCACTGAAATTACAGTACAATGCAAATTTTGTAAATTTTATTTTTTGTATTAATTTGTAAAAGCCATTCTTTATTTTTTCATATATGAAATATTGTTCATAATTCATCAACAAAGCATTGTTACTGTTAAGTTTTATAAAATTTTGTTTAACATTTTTTAAAATAATTTATAAATTTAAATCGTTTGCAATTATACTGCATTATATTTTATGATATCATTATCAAATATTTGTTTTTACAAAAAATTAATTGCATAGTACTGGAATTTTTCAAACAGGTTATAGATTACAGAGTATACATATTCTGATGAAAATAAAACCAATTAATCAGTGCTATTCATTTGTCAATCTGTGAGACATAAGTGACGCATTGTAACGGTTCTATAATAAAAAAAAATTAAGTAAAATGGTATGTATTTAATAAGATGTAATTACAAATATTAATATTTAGTTTAACGTTTTCTAAAAGTTTTTCTATCCTTTTTTCCTACATTTGAATTCTTTGCATTTTTTCTTATATTTTGATTCTTTTTAACATTAGCCCTAAAACAAAATAATTGTATTTATAAAGATAATATTATATATAATATTTATAAAAAGGATATGATAAAATATGTAATATTCTTTTTATCTTATTCTTAATAAAATGTACTTACTCGTAACGCATTCTTTTTACAGCTTTTTTACTTGTATTTGTTAAGTCAGCAACAAATGAAGATCTAGGCCGTTTTTGTAATGCTAAAAAGAAATTTAAATTACAAAAAAAAATGTCCAGTCTTTTAAAATTAAAAAATTTATTATAATACCTTTTTTGTTAGATGTAAATTTATCATCTACAATTGTACGAATTTTATTTAATTTATTTTGTTTCTTAGCTAATCTTGCTTGATATGCTGCAATTTTTTCTAATTCTCTTTTAGCTCTATCTTCTGCTGTTTCTTTTTTAGGTTCTTTCTTAGCTTTTTTTTTGTTTCTTCAACTATATTTGAAGGTTCTTTGTTAGGCTTTTTTTTCTCTTTTTTATTTGATTGTTTTTCAGTTAATGATAGTCTTTCTAGAAATAATATAAGTTATTTTAAAAACCTATATATCAAATTTTATAGAACTATGATCTTAAATAAGAAATGAAAATATTAAAATAACCTTTTTCTTCTTTTCTTTCTTTTTGAGTTTGAAACCAAGTTCTTTGAATGCTTTTATTACTTTCATTCTTTAATAATTTTTCTGCGCGATTTGCCTGATTTTCTATCTTAGCTAATTCTCTTTCATTTCGTTCTTCTTCTAAAATTTTTTCTACATCGGGTTCAAGAGATTGTAATTTTTTGTAATATTTGTCAATTATATCAGAAGGTATTATTCGATTCTTTACAGGATTTTTTGCATTTTTAATAATTTCTTTAACTAGAGAACGTTCTTGTTCTCCAGCTAATGATACTGATACTCCAACACGACCAGCTCTAGCCGTTCTTCCAACTCTGATAAATAATTATAAAATAATTATTTTTCCTATAACACTTGCATATTAAATTACATTTAATACCTATGAATATAATGTTGTATAGTGGCTGGCATTACAAAATTAATTACAGTTTTTACACCACTAATATCTAATCCTCTTGCAGCAACATCTGTTGCTAATAAAATATCTATTTCTTCATTTTTAAATTTTGTTAAATTTTCTAGACGTTGTGGTTGTGTAAGATTACCATGAAGTTCTCCAACCTAATAAATTACATAAGAATTATTTAAAAAAAAGTTTTTTATAATTGTATTATAAATTATAATCTTTTTTAATAATTAAAAATAATAATTTACATGATAATTAATAATTTACCTTAATACCTAATAACCCTAATAATATATGTAATCTGTGAGCTTGCTTTTTTGTTTGTACAAAAACCATGACATGATCATGAAAGGTTCTACAAATTAAAGCTGCTAAGATTGCTTCTCGATCTCCTTCTCTTTCTTTTCGTATTCTATATAATATATAATAAATGAATATATAAAATGAAAGTATAAAAAATATACAAATAAATATAAAATATAATTTTACCGAATAAATTCTTGGCGTAAATTAAAAGCAACATCTTGATTACTATCTATAAATACTTTAACAGGCTTATTTAAAGATACAGCAGCCAAATCTTTAACTTCTTCAGTCATAGTAGCTGAGAATAAAATTGTTTGTCTACTTCTTGAGCATTGTTTTACTATATATTTCATCTGTTCAGCAAAATATTCATCTAACATCCTTAAATTAAACATAATAAGGTTTCATTAGAATGTAAGAGAAATATAAATGAAATATATTTTTTACCTGTCTGCTTCATCTAAAATAAGCACTTCAATACTATCTAATGAAAATGTTGGTGTATTTTTCAAATGATCAATTAACCTTCCAGGAGTAGCAATTACAATATCTGGGCTTCTTCTCAATACAGCTTCCTTAAAAATAATAATAAATATATTAACAGCTATTTATTTCTGTTATTTATATTTATCTAGTAGTATTTCAATTTTTGTTTAATAGTTAATTTAATTATATATAATATATTTATCTATAATTTATTATTAATTAAATTGTAATATATTTACATACTTGAGCTTTTACATCTAAACCACCAACAGATAATCCTACTTCAATTGTTGTAAATTGAGATAATTGTTTTGTAACTTGATAAACTTGCACACCAAGTTCTCTTGTTGGAACAAGTACAAGAACACGAGAGATAGCAGGCCCATCTAATGGTCTATATAACAATCGTTCTAGTGTTGGTAACATATAAGCTGCAGTTTTACCAGTACCTGTAGCTGCACAACCACATATATCACGACCCATTAATGCAACAGGAATAGTAGCAGCTTGTATAGGTGTTGGATGGACAAAATTCATAGCTGTTATAGCCTTCAAAAAATATATATACATTTGTATATGAAATAACATAAAATTATATTATAAAAATTAATATTTATATTATACCTTTAATAAAGGACGTGATAAATTCATTTGATGAAATGTTGCATGAGATTCTATATTTGAATATTCCTCAAAATCAATTGTTTCTTCATTAGCTTTCTTAGTAATTTTTTTCTTTTTCTTTTCTTTAATTTTAAATGTATCTAAAATAAAACAAAATTCATAATTAATTTCATTTTATTTTGTGAAATGAATAATATTATTACCTTTTTTAAGTTCGTCTTCTGATATAGATAGTTCATCATCTATTTTTTTAATTTCAGATATATCTATATTGGATTCATTATCTATTTCATTCTAAAGAAAAAATACATAAATTAACATAAATTATAAATAATTTTTATTATCATAAATAGTATATCATAATATAAATTATATTATATAGATATAATATATCGTATATTTTTATAAATTATTTACTTATTTACTTATGTATTTTTCTTTATTTTATATTTTAATATAGTAATATTAATATAATCATTATGATTGATAACTTTTATAATAATAAAAATAATAATAACATATATATACATATAATTTATGTTCAGATCCTTTCCTAATTTTTTTAATTTTATCATCAAGTTTTGTTTTAGCTTTCCGTTTAATATATTTGTTCAAGTCATTCCATGTATCCTTATTATAATCAGAAATATCACTTAAAAATTGAAAATTATTATCAAAATCTTTATTTTCCTTTTTTTTCCGTTTTCTTGGCTGAAACTATATTGAGAATTTTTTAATTTTTTGAATTAAAAATCATTTTTAAAATTAAGTATTAAAATTTATTCAATTATATCATACATCATTTTCGGTATCAGAATCTTCAGAAAAATTTGGCACTTCTTGATCATCAACAATTGTTTTTATTAAATCACAATTATTATCCATTTTTATATATTACAAAATATATTACAATAAATATATTATAAAATCATATTCAGTTCCGAATAACTTAAACCACGTGGAAATGTGCACTGCCATATGTATATACATAGATACTATATATATATATGTATATATCAATTCAATAAGCTATAAGGTTTAATTTTTTAACGCATTTTCATTAAAAAACATTTTAATGATATTATTATGGATTATAATATTTATTTTCTATGAAAATAATATATATTTTATATTTAATTTAAAATATATATAATAACATAATTTTTAAAATTTATTAAATGCGAATTTTCATGAATATTTCATAACATAAGCTATAAATATTGCTTAAGTTTATTAATATTTTACTTAATGATTGAAAAATAAAATTAAATATAAAAAAATATATGCAATGAATATTTGATAATTTCAATTTTCTTAAATTTGATTTATAATATAATAATTTTTTTTTATTGTAATATAACATATATATTATATATATAATGATTACTATAGAACGTAATATTGGCGCGAAAGGCCTTTTACTTTACGCATTTTTCTATGTTTCAATTATTGTTAACTAATTTTATTAATAAACGTGAGTGATTAATTATTATTATGGGTATTTTGGGTTTAGCGAAATTAATAGCAGATATTGCACCAAATGCTATCAAAGAACAAGAATTGAAACATTATTTTGGTATGAATAATTCAGAGTTTTGAAATATTTATTCAAATATTTATCAAAATTTATTATAAAAGCAATGCTTTATTTTTTATTTTAGGTCGTAAAATAGCCATAGATGCATCTATGTGTTTATATCAATTTCTTATTGCAGTACGTAGCGAAGGTGCTCAACTTACATCCGTAGATGGTGAAACAACTAGGTACATAATTAAAGAATATCTATACAATTTTATATTATTCTTTGATAATTCTTTATATTACAGTCATTTAATGGGTATGTTTTATCGAACAATACGTTTAGTAGAACAAGGAATAAAACCTGTATATATATTTGATGGAAAACCACCAAATTTAAAAGGTGGAGAATTAGCAAAACGAGCTGAAAAGAGAGATGAAGCACAGAAATTATTACAAGCAGCAGAAGAAGCTGGTATTTCTATTAAATATCTAAATATACTATTAAATACTAAATATCCAATTATTTAATTTTAAAATTAATAAATATAATTTATTGCTTTTGATTATATTTATATTATTATAAATATGATTCTAAAATTTTTTTGTAATATTTTATTTTATATTTTATGCAGGAAATGCAGAAGATATAGAAAAATTTAACAGAAGACTAGTAAAAGTTACAAAAGAACATGCAGAAGAAGCTAAACAATTATTGAAGTTAATGGGTATTCCTTACATTGATGTGAGTAAAAACAAAATATTAATTATAATTTATAACTATAATATATTACATTTATAGGCTCCATGTGAAGCTGAGGCACAATGTGCTGCTATGGTAAAGGCTGGTAAAGTTTTTGCAACTGCTACAGAAGATATGGATGCACTTACTTTTGGATGTAATATTTTACTCAGACGATTAACATTTAGTGAAGCAAGAAAAATGCCTGTACAAGAATTTCATCAAGATAAAGTATTAGAAGGTCTTGAATTAAGTCATGATGAAGTATGTAAAAATAACATAATATTAATATTTCTGTTATTTATATGATAAATATACAATGTTTTTGTATATAAAAATGTTATAAAAAGCTATACAAAAATTTTAATATAATATAAAGTAAAATTTAAGCACATTCTAAGTTAAAATAATTGCTCATAAATTATATTATACATATATATTATTCTTCATCTTCTAAGAATTAATCATTTATTATTTCTTTTTACAGTTCATTGATCTTTGTATAATGTTAGGTTGTGACTATACAAATAGTATTAAAGGAGTTGGGCCAAAAAGAGCTATTGAGTTGATTAAAACACATAGGACACTTGAAAAAATTGTAGAAAATTTGGATACTAAGAAATTTCCAATTCCTGAAGATTGGAATTACAAACAAGCTCGATTATTATTTCAAAAACCTGAAATAACAGATCCTGAAACAATTGATGTAAGTGTAAAATTTTATATTTAATTTATTTTGATGGATTGTTTTAATTAATGGTTGCATAATAATAATAAATTTGTTATTATATATATTGGCATATTATATAATAATTTATGTTAATAAGTACAATATTATTATTATTATATTTATAACAAATATTCATATGAAATATGTACATAAATATGTATGTTTTTCAAGTTAAAATGGATAGAACCAGATGAAGAAGGTTTAGTAAAATATTTATGTGGTGATAAACAATTTAATGAGGAAAGAGTAAGAAATGGTGCAAAAAAATTACATAAAGCACGAAATACTTCCACTCAAGGAAGATTGGATACATTCTTTAAAGTATTACCAAATTCAACTCCTACAAAACGTAAAGTAAGTGAATAACAATTTTTAAGATTATATTATTTTTCTTTTTTAAATTAATATATATATATTATATTTTTGCAGATAGAAGAGACAAAAGGAACAGCTAAAAAGACTAAAAAAAAATGCAACAGGAAAACCACGTGGAAGACCAAAATAATTATTTAAAAATTTTAAATTTTATAATTTTTTAATTTTTATCAAATGCGAATCTCAATGTTTATAAAAATTTTTAATTTGAATCATTTATAATATTATCAATATATAAAATTATTGCAAATAATTCTAAAAATATTTAAACAATTTTATATTTATTTCATAAAATAAATTATACATATGCAAATAATATTTAATTTAATTAATTTTCACTTTACATTTTTGTACAATAAAAATGTTTTTTATACATTTTTATACATAGTACAATATATATCATTCATATGTACCATTCAATAATATTAATTGCGTTCGTTGTATATTTTATTACAATTTTTGTTCATTTACATATACAAATGCCTATGTAACAATTTGCCTATGTAAAATAATTTTATTATAATATTTATTCAGTCTTACTGGTTGCATCATATACATTAATTACATTTTTTTATTATTGTTTTTATAGTCTTATGTAGAATTAAAATTTTAATTTTTGGATGGTATTTGGCAGTGATTAGGCATTATGGATATTATATACATATAACATATATTAATAAAGGAAATCAATATTTATATAACTGAAAGCTTTTCTACATATATATAACATTTAATTGTCACTGAAATGTTATTATAGTACTACCAATAGCATTGGGATCTAATATGTGATGTAATGCTTGTTCAATATTATAAGGACCATATACTCTATCTACAACCATTTGTAATTGATCAGCATCAGCTAAATCACATAATGCTTGCAAATATGCTGTGTTAATTTTTGAACCTTCTTTCCACTGATGCATATTGAATCCAAATACATACTACAATAAATATAATGTTGCATATTAAATAATATTGAATTTTTAATTAAGCTATCAAATATTATTTTATATACCTGAACTAGTAACTTTACTCGTACACATCCAGCAAATATACTTCTAAATATAAAACCTAATGAGTCAGATATTAATTGTTCGGGGACTGTAGAAACATAAGAACCATAAGGCATTAAATTTTGTTTTAATATATGTTCATCAATTGGTTGACCTCCAGTATAAAATATAGCATCGAATCTACAAATTTTAGCTAGTTTTAAATACTAAAAATTTAATTAAAAGCTACTTGAATTTTAACTATTAATATTAATTCAGAATAAATTTATTATGTATTTCTCATGTTAAAAAATTTTTGCATTATACCTACTTGTCATGTAATTGCAACTCTTTTTCTATATTTGAATTATCTAATGATATAACATTATCTGCTCCTAAGGCTTTTGATACAGGAATTGCGTTTGGTGAACATATTGTAAGTACATATCCACCCCATAATTTAATTAGTTGAGTTAAAATACAACCAACAGGTGTATTTCCACCATATATAAGTACTCTAAAAAATAAGTTTTATAGTCTTATTTACATATACAAACAATATTTATTTTATTTTACAATACCGTTTTCCTTTTGCATCGCCTTCTTGAATTGTAGATCTATTAATTAAGGCATCCCAAGCTAAACATCCACTATAGGGAAGACTTGCAGATGCTTCAAAAGTAAAAAGTTTTGGTCGTTTAACTGCTTGACTTTCTGGGACCACTATATATTCTGCCATTGTACCAGGAGCCCAAGAAGGTACAGCTAAGAATACTTCATCCCCAATGTCAAAATTAATAACATTTTGTCCTATACCTACTATCACTCCAGTACAATCTCTACCTAAAGTTACTGGGAGCTCTTTGTGTTTCTAAAAATAAGTAAATAATAAATATATTAACAATATAATTTAGATAATAAAAAAATAATTTTTTAGTTTACATACACCATAATTAAGAAGTCTTCTGTAAATCTTAGAATAACCATTACAAATTTTTGTATCAACAACATTAATAGAGGCTGCTTTAACTTGTACTAATAACTCATTAGACCTTTCTATCATAGGCATTTCTGCATCATCTATCATGGATACACCCTACATTGTTTATAATAGATTCAATAAATATATTAAATAATATAAATATTTTAATTGTATTTTTAAATTAGAAATTAACTTAGAATAAACTTTATTATTATTTAAATGAATTTATTATTATTATTACTTAAATTTTTTAATTTAATACAATACCTCAATACCAATGTAATGATGACATATAATAGCTTTTATATGATGCATATGACGAGGCACATGTTCCCAAGTAATTCTAATATAATAACCAAGTAAAGTACCAACAACTAGACCTGCTAAACAAAATGCAAGTTCCCTATTTGACACTAAAAAAATAAAAATTATATTATATTATTACAGATTAAAATATAATATTATTTTGATATTTTAATATAAATGTTATAACATTGTTTCAATTAATTTTGACATGAAATCACAAAATTTTTAATATTATTTTAATACCTTCATTATTATAAAAAGTTTTTATTTGTCTATAAAATCCAGTGATATTGAAATGTATATTATAATACTGAAATTGTAAGTGTTCCCATGTTTTTTCAATCCAAATAAGTAGATGTTGTACAATTTCTTTAACATTTTGTATGTTTTGATTATTGTATAATTTATAAAAAACCTGACGTGCTTGAGCGAACCATGTTATAATCCATTGTTGTCCTTGTTGTACAAGTAATGAAGTTTGAATCTTTTCCAAAAAAATCCAGTGTTTAAAAATATAAAATTGAATATAATTTTTTTTATACAAAAATGAATAAAATAAATAATTAATAATGATATTTTTCTTATTTAATATAATCTATAATTAGGAATAATATAATTTATTAATTAATAATTTATAATTGATAAAATTGAATTGCTATAGTTTTAGAAATATTTTTTTTTAAAGAAATTATTAACTATAAATATTAGAAGAAAAGTATTAAAATATTAATGTATTTTAAAAGCTTATTTAATAGATTTATTATATGATATTAAAATTATATATTATATAAATTATTTAAATTATATATTTTTTCAAGAATTATAACTACCTGAAATGTCTCAAACTGATTAGATAGATGGAACCAAATTTCGTCCATGATTTTATAAAAAAGTTATTTAACAATTCAAATATAATATATCATTTTATATTCTACTTGTCCGATTAGCTGAAAATGCAGCACAGTAGTGTTATAAATAAACGATTAACACATTACGTACAACTCAAAATAGATATCAAGTTTGCTTTGTGATTATTGAAAATTATAATTGTCCTTGTATTATATATTATTTAAATATTATTTTTTCATGATTATAAAAAAATTTTAAAAGAAATAACGTCGTATTGAATAAAAAAGGTTAATTTGTCCTATACAAGTTTGGCGCAAATTTATTTGTTTTTGATGATATAACGACGGTTATGAAATTCTATCACGTGATAAAAAAATAATATTAATGAAATCTTAGTTAATTATTAAAAAATATTATTAAAAAATAGTTTTATTTTTGTTAATATAATAGAAAAAAAAACAAAAATATGTAAAGAAATTATTTTAAAAAATAAAATGTTTTTGTTGAATAAAAGATACATTTAATAAAAATATACGTTATTTTGAGATAATTTTTTCAAATTTTAAATAATATTTTTGTTCGATAAAACTTTACTTTCATTTTACTTTTATGTAACGTATTTTAAAATTATAAATCCATTAATCATAGAATTAGCTTTGTAAAAAAAATAATTACGCAACGTATAAGTATATATAAATTTATGTATGTTCATTATATGTGCATCATACTTTGTTAAATTTTCAATCATTGATTTGTATATTTTGTATATTTTTCACAATTCATTGTCTTATATTCATTATTATTAGTGATAGATCATGAATATATAATTTTAAATATTTTAAAATTGATAAACTTTTCTGATAAGCACAAAATTAAAATGATAACTAAAACTCAATCGATAAAATGATTTCTATTATCGAAGCAAATATATTCATTCTACAGTCATCCTATATATATTTTTAAAAATCAAAAGAAATTTTATTATATGTACTATTTATTATTATATGTACTATTTATAATTTATCATTTATTTTTTTACATTAAAAATTAAAATCTAATTTTGAAAAAGAAATGAAATACTAAATAATTGAATGAAAATATTAAATTGATATCTTATACTTTCTTCGCAAAAGAAAATATAAACAAGAATAACAAATTGTGGAGGATAAAGATAAATTAAAAATTCATATCAGCGCCATCTCTAGAGTGCAGTAAATAAAACATAAATATAAACAAGGAGAGCAAGCAGAAAGAAGATAAAGATAAAATGGAAAATTGACATTTAGCGCTATCTCAGAAGAAAAAAGACAAATTTTAAAAGATGGTGCTGAGGCTCAATTCTTACTTTTCTTTATTTTATTTTTAAAAAAATTTTTTTAGTATTCAAGAGATGGCGCTGAAGTTCAATTCTTATTCTATCTCTATCCTTCTATTTTTCTTATTTATATGTTTTATTTATGACATTCTGAAGATGGCACTGATTTCTCTTTATTATTACTTTATCTACTTTTTTTTAATTTGATATCAAGCAATATATGTATTTAATTTTTAAATTACAAAACACTTTACTATTGTTAAATCAATATAGTTCATCACAATGAATTTTGTTTTATTATATTAATATTATATTTTATATTTTTTTATTCATACTTACATATTATTTAAATTACATTCTAATATCTTATTAGAGAATTAGATGTAATTAAACATTAAACAAATATTTTAAGGAATAACATTTTATTTGTTCTACTTTTTGCTTACATATAATTTAAATAGAATATTAACAATTGTACTTCATCATCAAAACGGAAATTCATAGATATAGAAATAATATAATATAATTTCTGCTTATTAACTTTAAATGACTAAAAACAAAAATAAAAATATTTTAGTTTTATAATGTATACATTATTTTAATAATTATTTAAATATAATTTATTTTATTCATAGAATTTGAAAAGTAAAATAGAAAATTATTAAAATTATAATATAATTTTATTAAAATATAGGGTATTTTATTAAAACATTTTCATTTATGTTTATTTTCTAAAGTTTTTTAAATTCTTTGTTTCAAATTCAAAATATAGTAGAAATCCTATTCGTTTATTTATTATTAAATTCCATGTCCGGTTGATGAAGACGATGCGACGTCAACTGTAATTGATCATTAATCATTGATTATTAAAATATTATTTTTAAAAATAAAATATAAAAACGAACGAATGCCTTTTATCAAATATATATGATACATTGAATATTAATGTATAACCACTGAATATCAATTAAGCATCATTTGCATGATATATTTTTACAATAATTATTATTAAATTGCGTTTTTAAATTAACAAAAAGAGATAAAAAGAAGCAAAGAAGATCAGGTTAAAAGTATTGAGACAGTGTGGGCTAGGGATCTAATCTTGATCTGATTTAATCTTGATTCTAATTAGCATACAAGACCATTTGCACAGTGTACAACTTATAGAAAAAAGTGCTGAACTATATTAAGTTTTTAATGAGATTTTAATATAACGATAAAATTTTAATACAGTTAAACTTCTGTTATGTGGAGCATTTGTTATCCAAAAATTATATTATGTGATCATTCTATTATCGAAACAACATACAATATTTAAAATCCTTTATATTAAATTAATACAGAGATAAAATTATGATTACAAGAAAGAAACTACATACTACTACATTTATCTATATATATCATAAAATAATACTACTATTTATAAATAATGAAACAAATAGTATATAATCTTCAGATAAATTTAAATTTACGTTATATTCATTCGTTTTTATTATTATTTTTTTTTTTTTAGATGAAATACAATTTAAATATACCCATTGTCGAACGATAAAGGATAACGCGAAAGGATTGAATCTCGAAGAATCCTGATGATGATTCTGAGAAGAAAGTATTTCTGTTTGTCCTCCAAATTTTTTTTCAGAAACATCAAATTCGTTACGCGAGTTTAAATCTTCTATTTCTCGATGTCTATTATTGGTAATCGTATCATCATCTTGAAGCATCTTCTCCTGTATATTTGGATCGAATCTCTTGCCGTGACCACCGAAACAGGAATGTCCAAACGCAGAACAACCACCTGTTAATAGATTAGTATTATATTTTCATATCATTAAATATTATTGATTCTGATTAATTAATAAATATTATTTTTAAGAAAATCAAAGTGGAAATTTGGAGAAATATTAAAAATCTGTGTATATAAAATGTTTAATATAAATGTGTGCATATAAGAAAATTTTTTTTTTATATTATATAAATAACATTTTATATTTATCTAAAAAGAAATGAAAATAATTTACAAACATTAAAGTTTCATTTAAATAATCATTGAAATATAAAGATCGATAAGTTTTGATATATTTTGTTAATAAATAAAATTTCATTAATCAAAAAATTTTTTAAAAATTTTATATATTATAAAAATATTTTAATTAGATAAATTAGAAAACTTTTAATCAAATTGTTTGAAAATATAAAGAAATAATTAATGTAATATAAAATATAATAAACACTTTTCAAAAGAATTATAATAGAATATAAGTAGATTAAATAGATTGGTCGACTACAAGAAACAAGATGCTGTATAAAATTTAAAAGAATTAACGTATGATAAACAAGACCATAAAATTTAATTTCACTTTCAAATTTACTTCTTATTTCTTATTTCTTTATAATATAATGTAGAAAAAGTAAGTAAGCTTTTAAGGGATTTATAATTGGGTGATAATAATTCTCAGAGAAAAATAATACAAAATATTTTATTTCAGAAATTTGAATGAAATTAAATTTCAATAAAAGTAATAAAATTTTTTTAAAAATAATTTAAATAATTATCTTACAGATATTAAAACACAGTGCTAATGTACCATATAAAACTTTATATGTATATTTATTATGACCTTGGTAATTAATAATTTCTGAAACAAGAATGAAATTAACTAAATCTAAAATTAATGAAACCTAAAAAAAAAAAAAAATAACATTGTAGACAGAGGCGATAAATATTATTTAAATAAATGCAAGAATCTATAAAAGTAATAGCATAAATTAAAGCTTTTCAAAGCAAAGTTGTATAATCGATTATTAGACGGAAGTGAAGAAGGAGAATGAGTAACGCATTTTTAACCCATAAGCAGAGAATTTAAAGAATATAAAGAAAGAGAAAAATGTTGTATTCTTAAAATGTAAATGAACAGTATAAATGCTATTCAGAACTGGGATAATAATAATAAGAATAATAAAATATTTAATTCATATTATGAGAAAAGCTAAAAAGCTTATAAACGAAAAGAGAAAAGAAAAAAATTCTTAATGAAATTGTATTAATTTTAATGAGTATCTTAATGAATTTAATGTCTTTTAATGAAATACTACAAATATTTTGGATTCTATAAAAATACATGGAATTTCAAATGTGTGACATTACAAATCTAATTTTTGTTAAATCTTGTCCTAAAATTAAAGTTAAATTTAAAGTTAAACATTAATTAAATTTTTTTTTATGAAACACAAAATTTATTTACAATTAAATTTTATTTTATTTTCAAGTATCAAATATAAAATCTCATTCTATTGTATCAAAATTCTTTTATTCAATTACTCATTATTAGAACAACATACGATTACTTATTACGATTAAAATAATATTTACATCGAAATCAAACTCACTCATCATCTATCCATGGATAAAAAAGGTATAATCCATATTAAAAAAGAAATAAAATGCGCCCTTTAAATAATTTAAAATAGAGTGGTATTCACGCTTCATGCAAAATGGCGAATCGTAAATCGAGTATGACACAAGAAAAAAAGGAGAAAAATAAAAAAAAAAAGAAAAGTGTCGCGTGAAAGGGCAAAATTAAAATTCAAATTAAAAAGCGCGGCATGAAACATGATTGGTGGCACGTGATCAACGGTGAGAAAGCAGATCAAATGAAAGAGAGAGAGAGTTGTAACTTTATTCACTCAATTATCTGAAGGCTGGTTCTAATCGATCAACGGTTTCGAACCTTTTTCCTCGGCCGCATCCTGTTCTTACGTTTTAAAAGCTTTGAAAAAAGCTCTTTAAAGGGGCTCGATCGCGAGAGACTTCGTTACCGATAAAGATTATCCTCTTACAAAGCTTTTTATGTAAAGAGATAAATATATAAAATTATAAATGATCCCTCTTCTATTTCTTTTATTTTAATCAATTGTTTCATATTGAATTTTGTTTATGAATTGTGTCTTTTGTAATTCAAAGAATTTGTTGCCTCCTCTGTCCAGAATAAGGAAAATTTAAAAAGAAAAGATAGATTAAGAACCATAGATCATTTCCAATTATATTATAGCATTTTCAAATTTTTTTTTAAATTGCAACGTTTTGCAATATTCAAATATTCTTCCATGTGACAAAACAAAATAGGATCAAAAAAATTAGAGTTTTGCCGCCATGAGACGTGTAATTTTGAATATAGAGAATATTAGCAAAGTACGTGTTCAACGATTTCCTGAAAACGAAATATGGCGATCCATTTATAATAGATATTTATATTCATTGCATTCATCATTTAAAAAAATCCCTGTTAAAAAAAGACACGTTAAATTTCTTTATCGAGACCCTTTTAACGATAAATCGTTTTCAGTCCAATGGGAAATGGAAAATGGAAACATTCAGGCGATATGGCAAAACGTTTCTCTCTCACTTTGTGCTTATGATCGTGGACGAAATGCATTCCACGACTGGACAGCTTAATCTGTTGGTTCCAATTGGAGTCGCAGTCGCATGCATTGAGCGTGAACGAGGTTGGCAGCTCGCATGATTCCATTGTTTCTGGATGAAAGATGTGTCAAATTATACGTACACGTTTCAGCCTGTTTTTATTACCGTTTCGCATCTTGATTCATCGTGGCACTGTTTTATTCCTGATGGAATTGCGATATCGTTAAATCATCGCTCCTGCTGTTTTGCATATTGCTGTTAATGTTTTAATGCGATCCGATGTATTCGGAAGTGTTGTGTAACTAACCGTGAGTGTTCCTCCAATTATTTAACATTTAGAAACGATTTATCGTGTTTCGTCGTGTTTATTGAGTAAATATTGAATTCTTGACTTCTGCTTCTCTTCATTATTCTATTGTATAATTCTATTTGTATAAATAATATAATGATAAAATGAAAAAAATAAACAGAAAAAAAAATACGTGGAATCGTTGTATAAAATTAATATCTTAATGATTTTAACAAATTAACAGAAATGATCATTAAGAATAAAGTATAAAATTTATTCACATTATTATATAAAATATATTGGAAAATTATGAATATATTAAATTATGAATATATAAGTATTGTATTGTTAATTAAATGGAGAATGACGGTGAATAAAATATGAAAAAATATGATAAATAAAATCACATTTCCCTAACAAAATCGATTAATAAATTCGCTGCTGATTTTGGCGTGCAAATTGCACGTATTCAAATGTTAGGATATTTTTCAATTTATAAACATTTTACGAAGACAATTAGAGAAAACTTAATTGCCTTGTGTACAGTAGATATTAGCAAATTATGAATCATTTATAAATTAAAAAATTTCCAAAATTTGTAACTAAATATGGGAAAAGAATTTTGATTTGAGAAAGATAAATTTGATTTATGCTGGTGGAATAAATATAATACCGTATTGTCCACGATGTTTGATTAATTTTAACTTCAAATTATCTTCTTGAATCATTAGTCAAATAAACAAAACAAACACTCAATGATTTTTTATACATGATAAAACTCAATTCAATATTATTCACTTTAACTTCGTTTTGACCTTAATCCATAGATTAAAGGGGAATTAAGTAAATATTCTAAATCTCGTTCGTTATGAATATTTACAAAAAAAGAAATTTTTCAAATATTTACAAATCGTATCTATAAAATTTCATAAATGTTTTAATACCAATACTTCTATATATCTTTCTATATTACAAAGAGAAAAAAAAAAAAAAAGAATTGTAAAAAAATCCCACGTAACGCAAGTAAACTATAGATTGAATTGAAATAAAAATTAATTTCAAATTTTTATAAAATTCTATATATATAAAATTCTACATATAAAATTCGTATTTTTATTAAAATATTTTTAAAAATACTTAACGAATAAGTAAAATAGTATGCCAAATTAAA